TAAATTGACGAATATTTCATTAATTTGTAGATGCAAGTATATCATTATCTTTGAATTATAACATTACAATTTGTGTAACAAGTACTATTTGTCAATACAAGATCTAATCATTCAAGGAGAATTGTTGTGCAATTAAATGACAGAATATGTGATGGATTGGATGGTACCGACATCAAACTTATCATACATAATTATTTACCTATATACATAATTTATATTTAAAAACATATGCAACAGAAAGTTTATTCCTAACCTTGTTCTTGTTATTTAAACATTTATATGTGCCAATCCATGAATTGTGTCACTGGTACTTAACAGTGATTAGTATGAAGGAGAAAAAATTATACTACTTTGATTCATTGCAGATGAAAGCAAGTTAGACAAAAGGAGAAAAAACATAAACTACATTGTAAGCACTTATAAGGAAATATGCATCAATTTTAGCATCGTGTGCTTCATTATTTCATCCAATTTTTATGTTTTTATTAACTAGATATGGATATAGTGCATTCCATAGGTACAAGGGATCAAGAATCCCTTGATTTTCCTTTGGTCCCGGATTCCAGGTTACCAAGTTCCCAGCATCATTCAGATGTCTCCTAACTTTCTCTTGTTTCCATGAATTGTTTTTTCTGGAACTATAGGGGTGGTAGTAGTATATTTTTTTTGCTAAACTTATCAATGACCTTATTGTCCTTTATAAATTATATTTTCTTCCTTTATTTGAACCTAGAGTCAGTGCTGAGAAGGCTAACAAAATTATCCAAAAGATTAACTTGATGGCTCTGAAAAAGTGGATGCCTTGGTTTTCTCAGGGAGTATTTGGTGTCTCTAGAATACTAAAAAGGTTAGGGCCTCTATTTTATCTAAATCTAAGTTTACTGTCTATCTTAGAATTAACTATAATGGCTAGTCTAATTGATTTTTATCCTTTGTATATGTTGTTAGCCCCTAGGAAAGGTTTAGATCTGATTGTTGGAAGGAGCTAGTTGATTTTAGCCAATTTGTTCATAGTCCCTGGTATGTTGCTAGGGGCTTTAATCCCATTATCTACGGTAAGGAGAAACTAAGTAGAAAGGATGCAAATCCCCTTCTTCTTACCCAATTTGCTAATTGTCTTAATAATTGCAGTCTGCTTGATTTAGGTTTTAAAGGATACCCTTTTACTTGGTAAAAAGGAAATTTGAAAGAAAGAACTGATAGGGTTGTTGCTAATGAGGCTTGATATCTCTTATTTCAAAATAGCACTGTTATTCATATCCATGTCCCTAAATCTGATCACATAAGCCTTTGGCTTAAAATCAATAATCAAGATAGGTTGTTGTTATCTAAAAAGCCTTTTAAAAATTCCTAGCTCTGGGGTATCCCATCCTAATTTTTCTAACCTGATCAAAGCTTCTTGGTCGAGATATAGTCCCTGGACTGAAAAACATAAACAAATTTACAAACAATTTATGTGAATGGAATATTTCTACTTTTGGTAATATTTTTAATAAAAAGAAAAGACTGTTTAACATAATTTATGGAATTTCCACAAAACTTTCTCTTAGAGAAAACCTTTTCTTTAATAACCTAATGAAGTCTCTTTGGAAAGAGTATAATCAAATTTTGGACTATGAAGAGTCCTATTGGTTTTATCACTATAAGTCCAGGTAGATTAGGCAAGGGAATAGTGATAAACGAACTTTCTCATGTTGTGTTTAAAATATTTGTCCAAATCCTCATCAAAATTTAAACAAATTAATGTAGTACTAGGGTTATCCTAGATTGTCTCCTGTGAACATTAGTTATTAATCTTCATTAAATATGTTGAAGGCATTAATTGAACAAACAATTAAAATGGGGGGGGGAGGGAGGTTTCGTGGTTTCAAATCAAAATAAAGGTAACGAGCAAACAAGTTTAATTAATTCAAACAGTAAAAAACAACAATCCTTAGTTCATCCACAAAGATTCTATCCTCATTCCACTCAAGATTTAACATTCATCCTCTCTCCTATGAATTAAGTTAATTTAACAAGCGAAAACCAATCTTATTGTCCTAACGAAATTACGCAATTTGCTAGGCTCTAATCTCTCGTCCCAAAGTTACGCAACCTTAGAATTAAACCTAGGATTAAACAATCCCTAGTTTAGAATCTCCTTAAAACGAATTAGGGTTAATTAAGCAATATCCCCTTCATTCACCATTAATTCAATTCAAGAGACAAGGAAGAAGTAATTCATGAGAAGAAAGAAATTATATTATCATTAAAATCAAGGAATTCAAGAATCTGTGTGAACTTACTAACGATTACACAAAATTTAGCCCTCCATGGAAATGAGGGTCAAAAACGCAGTTGGGAAATGCAGAAAACTCATTAACATTAATGTAAAAGCAAGAGAAAATGAGAAACCAAACCCTAGGTTGGACCCTTGGCTGTCACCCAAGGTTGCCCTAAGCTTTGGAAAATGTCCTAAATTTAGTAAAGAAGATAAAAGGTTCAAAAAATGTAAGAACTCACTATCCTAATTTGGTAAAAATCTATTTATACTAAAGCTGGCGCCCTCCAAAGTAATTACTTTCATTCTTTCATAGTAAATACGCGCAACATCAGTTCGGTTTTGTCTTTCTGGAGTGATTACTATGAAAGTTCATAGTAACCATGTGCAGCACTGAGACATTTTGGACTCTCTGGAGTTGTAACTATAAACTTTGATAGTAACTACGCACAAAACTTTTAATTTTGCATGCTTTGGAGTGATTACTATAAACTTTCATAGTAACCACGCGCAGGTTTAGTAGATTCTAGGCTGCTGTAGTTGTCACTTTAAGCTCTGAAAGTGATCACTTTGGTCCCTTTGCTGGAAGTGGCTTGCTGTAGTTGTCACTATCAATCTTGAAAGTAGTTACTTTCACCTCAAATTCCTCAAAATCCAATATTTCTTCAAAATAAGCTTGGGGATTCCTGCCACATTATTCAAATGATCAAAACATGTAAAATAAACTATATAAATCAATGTAAATTAACCAAAAACTAAGAAACCTATATTATTTAGCTTAATTGGAATATCCATCATATTTACACTATCTAAGTCTATTCTTTTCTATAAAAAGTAATAAATGATGTATAAAAATTTAGTAAAATGTGGATTCATCAGATAGAAATACTAATTTCTTCGACAGAGTTGTTGTTTTTTGTAGAAATAAAAATCTCATTCACGCTCTCAAAAATGATTCTAGAAACTGAGAATTTAATCCCTCCAGTTTAAAAATTATGACTCTAAATTATTTTAAGAATATCTATTATGACCCTTTCCCTAATGACTTTGAGTTGCTTACCTAGTCTTCTTTCCCTCTTCTTAGAGACTTTGATATTTAGATGTTCTCTGTCATTCCCTCAATTGAAGAGGTTAAAGTTGCTTTGTTTAGCATGACGAATTTTAAATCTCCTAAGCTTGATGGCCTACATTATTTATTTTTTAAAAATCAATAGTAGTTCCTTGCTTCCTTCATATACAATTTTATTCTGGAAGTCTTCTATGATCATTAAAGAATCTCTGTTGTCAATGATACATCAATCACCCTTATTCCCAAAATTAATAACTTAGTGGGAATAAAAAACTTTAGGCTCATCTCTTTTTGTAACGTTAGTTATAAAATTGTAGCTAGACTTCTTGTTAATAGAATTAGAGATTCTTTACCTCACTTGATTTTTGGCAACCAGTCCAGTTTTATTACTAGGCGACAGGGTATAAATAATGTCATCATTTTACAAGAGCTTGTCCATTCTTTCCAGAATCTTAAGAGGGGGCATAAATATATGATAATCAAGCTTAACTTAGAAAAAGCCTATGATAAGTTTAGGTGGAATTTTATTTTTGATACTCTCTAAAAAGCTAGTTTTAATTATAGTCTGATCAGCCTTGTCCAGTCCTGTATTTCTACTTCCTTTATGTATATTAATTGGAATAATAATAAGTCTGAATCCTTTACCCCCTCTAGGGGCATCCGTCAAGGTCATCCCATTTTTCTCTATATTTTTGTCCTATGTATAGAAAGATTAGTCCATCTCATTAATGATAAAATTTCAAATAATAACTGGGACCTTTTTTCTTTTAGCTCTCAAGGACCTAGGATCTCTCATCTCTTTTTTGTTGATGACCTTATCCTAGTTACATAGCCAATATTCAGCAAGCTAGCATTGTCAAAAGTGTGTTGGCAGAGTTCTGCTTTGCCTTGGGTCTTCAAGTTAATCATGATAAGTGTTCCCTTATATTCTTTAAGAATATTGATCCCTCCCTTTCTAATTCCATTTATGATTGTTTAGGGATTAAACTTGTCAGTCAGCTTGGTAAATACCTTAGTATCCCTATCCTCCATCAAAAGCCTTCTAGAACCCACTTTACCTATATTTGGATAAAATTAGGAAAAAAAAAACTAGCTATTTGAAAGATGAACTCCCTATCTTTAGCTAGTAAGGTTACTCTGGCCCAAGCTTATCTAATGACTATTCCTTCCTATATGATGCAATCTCTCACCATTCCCTCCTCTGTTTGCAAGGAAATTGAAAGTTTATGCCAAAAATTCATCTGAAAATCTTTGGGTAAAATAAATGTCATCTCATTGGATAACAACATATTTGTAAACCTAAAAATCAAAGAGGTTTGGATTTCAAAGACCTTTACATATTGAATAATGCTTATATGATGAAACTCTATTGGAGGCTTACTTCCTCCCCCTCTTCCTTGTGGGCTCAAGTTTTGAGTCACAAGTATAGTTTTAACCATGGCCAAATCCTAAGTGGTAGGAAAATCACAAAGCAATCCTATCTCTGGAAAAGCCTTATGCATGTTTGGCCCCAGTTCTCCTAGGGACTAGATTGGCTTGTTAGAGATGGAATGTCTATTCATTTCTAGACTAACAAATGGATTCCTAATTTTGATAATTTGACTAATCATGCTATTGGTCCTATTACTAACCTTGATCTTGACTCCCCTATTACTTTATTTGCTGACCATAATGGTTCGAATTGGGGAAAAATCTCTGCTTTTCTACCTGAAACAAGTTAGGAATTCTATTACTCTGATTCACTCTCCTGTGAGGTCTAAAGGGCCTTATGTGGCCTTCTGGGATCTTGCAAATAATGTTTTGTTCACCACCAAATCAGCTTACCAATTGTTGGACAATTCCATTAATAACTATAATGAAAACTCTTCTCTGTTTAAAATAATTTGGAACTAGAAAGGTTCCCTTAAAGTTGCTTATCTCTTGTGGAAAATTGCTCATGAGAGATTATTCACAAATGAGGAAATATTCAATAGAGGAATGACTAACTCCTTTGATTGCCCTAGGTGTGGAGAGGATCCTGAAACTATCATGCATGTTCTTAGAGACAGTTTCTTTGCTAGACAGGTTTGGGATCATTTTATATTTGTTAATCAATGTGTGCAATTTTTCAGTTACAGTATCTTTGGCTGGTTGTTTTTTAACCTATCTAGGTCTTGCACTAAGTATTTCCACAACTAGCCTATGATTGTAGTTTGGTACCTGTGGAAAGATAGGAACCAATTTGTTTTTCAGAACACTCTATTTTAGCTAAGAAAGCTTTGTTTGATGCTGATCTATTTTTCTATTGTGGTAGGTTTGATTATAGCTCTCATTCCAGACTGGTTTTTGATCCTGGATTGGCTAGATGGTCTCTCCCTCCTACTGACCAATTCAAATTAAATGTATATGGAGCTGTTTCAAGGACCAATGAAGTTACTGCTTGTGGAGGTTTGATCCGTGACAGCCATGGCAGGTTTATCATGGGATTCTGCAATAGCCTTGACCCCTGTTTCCCCCTCACAACTAAGCTCTGGGGCATCTTCCTAGGTATTCAGATGGTTGTGCAGATAAGGACTCTTTAACTATTTGGATTAAGAGTGACTCCAAAGATGCAACTGCGTTGATTCTGAAAGTCCAACTTCCATCCCACCCTCTATTCTCTCTTCTTTGTGATATTAGAAATGCTCTTAGAGCTATTAGTTATTTTTAGAGTTTCCCATGTTTGTAAGGAAGCAATAAATATGTCAATTCCCTAGCCAAATTAGGCCTTGAGCTCCACTCTTTGTTCTCTCTATTTTAGGATCTTCCTTCTTCTCTTTTGCCTTTTCTGATTTTGGACTCTAGCCGTTTGTGGCTGTCTTTACTTGCTGGTTAAGTTTGTTTGTTTGTTGGGCTTGTTATGCCCCCTTTCTTAGCAAAAAAAGAAAAAAGGAAGAGAATATGGATTAATATTTAAACGTCAAAGTCTCTAATTTTTTTATTTGAAAAAGTATTAAAGGCCTTCTTTTTCATGTTTGTATTTTCTTTAATTTTATAGGCCAAAATTCATGTTTTTGTTCAAACTTATGTAAACAATTTTTGCATATTGGTTATTTTACGTTTAATCTCTAGAATTAGAAAAATTACTTAATTATAATGCATAAAAGATATATAAAATTAAAATACAATATCATGAGTTTAAAATTAAACAATAAAAAAGTTAAATTTAAAAGAAAAGAAACTCTAATCTTCACTTTCTATATTTGACATCTTCATGTTAAAAATATGGTTTTCCTTTTCTTCTTGTATTGATTTTCAATTCTTTAGATACTTCCTTATACGACGACATCCTCTTGAGTTTCACTTTTTCTTTTTATATATAATAGGTTTTGAAAAAAAAATATTTTCAACTTCATGGCATAGGTAAAAATATACCTTAATATGTTGTTGGCACAAATCACACCCATGGTAAATACTTTTCATAAGAAGTGATGTCTCTATTTATTCAAATTAACTAATAATAGTTAGCATTGTGACTTTTACAAGCGACTCATAGAAAGGGGGTGATGTCTCTAAACCCTAAACCCTAAATACTAATATCTATTTCTTTTCAAGAATTTTATCCACGGTGAAAGAAAAAAATTGATTGTAATCTAATTCTTAATGTAATAAAAGATACACAAATATTATAATATAATTAAATATTAGAATTATTTAAAACAATAGAGATTGATGAGTCCATAATTGAGTATTTTCTTTATTAATGAATAAAAATAAAGACCAGAAAGAGAAATTTTTTTCTAATCACTTTGGAGTAATTATTATCCTCTCAATATGATTTAATATTTTAACATTTAATTCATCTATAATTAATCACTTTAGAATAACTATTATCTTCCCAATATAATTCAATATTTTAACATTTAATTAATTTATAACTAATCACTTCAAAATAACTATTATCCTCCTAAAGTAATTTTTTTTATTTTTTATCCAGTTTAATTCAAATCATTTGATTTAATTTAAATTTAACTTTAGTCACATATTTAAATTTGATGGATGAGTTATTACTAAAAAAATTTTACATACACAAATACTCAAACTAAACTCTTCACTCACCACTCATATTATAAGTTCCATTAGTATAATATATCAATGGTTCTCAATAATTTTTTGAATAAGTTACCGTAAGCATTCTTGGTAACCTATAATAAATCATTGGTTTGGTGTTATGTTACATTAAATACAACACACCCTTATTAAAAAAAAAAATGAAAAATACAAGACACCCTTCCCAGGGCATATTATGAAAAAAAAAAAAAGAGATTCGTCGAGAAAGAAAGCCGAGAGAATGGGAGATTATCACTTTGTGTACAAAGATGTAGAAGGAGCCTCAACTCAATGGGATGATATACAAAGGAAGCTTGGAAATTTGCCTCCGAAGGAGCCGACGTTCAAGCCTCCTCCTTTCACCCCTGCCTCTGATTCCGATACCCAACCTAAAGACAAAGCCTGGCTCGATTCCAAAAGCCTGGATGAACTCGAAGAGCTAGAAGACGATCTTGACCTTGACGATGATCGTTTTCTCCAAGAATACAGGTATTTTGTGGGTTGTTTTTGTTTTCCTCCTAGGTGATTGAAAATGAGTGAATTTAAAACTTTTTTTATGACTCTGTTAATTTCTCATGGGGCTCTATGTATTGTTCTGGGTCGTATACTTTGTGTCGTATACTTTGTGTCGTTAGTTGTCTGTATTCTTTTGTTCATTTTGTTTGTTCTTAACACGGTCTGGTTGGAATTTGCTGTAAATTTTAAGGTTTTAGAGCGAATTAATGTTTATGAGCCCTTTTGTTCCATTCAATTTCTGATGACTAGTTCATTCTGAGTTAATGAGTTTGCTTGAGAAGAGGGAGTAAATGAGTTATAAGATGAAGGGAAAGCAAAATTAGGTACTATTTATTTCACTTGTTTATGATAGGAAGAAGAGGTTAGCTGAGATGCAAGAGGCAGCTAAAGTCATAAGGTTTGGATCAGTGATTCCGATATCGGGATCTGATTTCGTTCGAGAGGTTTTACAGGCTCCATCTGATGTTTGGGTGGTTGTCATCCTTTACAAAGAAGGGTATGCTTTAGCAATTTCTTTAATTTTCCAAAATCTATTTAATTTCTTAGTGATGTATTATGTCTATTGTGATTTTTGTGACAGGATTCCTGAATGTGCACTAATGATGCAAAGCATTGAAGAACTGGCTGTAAGATATCCTGCAACAAAATTTGTCAAGATAATATCCACTGACTGCATTCCCAACTACCCGGATCGTAATCTTCCCACTTTGTTGGTGTACAACAATGGAGCAGTCAAAGGAAATTATGTGGGTTTGCATAGTTTTGGGCGAAGATGTACTCCTGAAGGTAAATATGCCTCAGAATGCCACCCTTATTTGCATTGTTTTAGTATGAAGGGCATATTGCTCAAGCCTTAGTCCTCAAAATTATGATTAATTCTTAGGAAGTTGTAATAGAAACTCTTTTCTAAATCTGCTCCCTTGTTATCTAATGACTCTACCTATCTTACATATCAGGTGTTGCACTAGTCCTGTGCCAATCAGACCCTGTTCTTAATGATGGCCACAATAGAGATGAGCAATCAAGAAAAGCTGTCATTGAAGGAGTCCGCAAGAGGTTTATAGAGAAAGTTGTTGCCGATCATGAAGAGGATGATGATGATTACTCGAGTGATTAGCATTTTGTTTTTAGGGGGTTATGTGTCTGCCTTTCTTTCAAGTAAGATGTCTCCAATCGATGAAGTGAAGCAATACATATGTGGAGTTTTATTTTCCACAACTTTGCTTCTATCCCTCTATGTAGAGTTTTTCTTTCCTTTTTTCCCCTTCCCTGTGCCTTCTAATTTTTCTTATACAGCAGGAGGATAAAGTTTGGTGGTTGGTTTTTTAGTCTCGTTTGAGTTAACATCTACCAGTATGATGTGTGATTCTCATTTTCTTGTAATAGAAAGTAATTTAATTCAGGTTTGCTTTAACATCTTGCCATTATTTTTGTTAACATTATTAATAAGGAGCCATGTAATCGTCAATTTGCCATCTTTTGGGAAATATATGACATACGCATTATACTTATTTGACTATTTACTCATCAAGGTTGGATAAGTCAGAGTGGCAGCAAGAGTTAATTACGATGCCAACCTGTTCTGGAAAAGAACTCTAATGTTCATTCCCTTCTCCAGCCTCTTAATAGGGATCATGGATATCCATTAAGTGTGGTTGTTCCTGGTGTCCTTGGAGCCTGGTCTGTTAAATGGCTGGAAGATATCAATGTCATTGCAGAAGAATGCCAGGTCTAATACAAACTGCTATAGAATGTTTTTGAAATACCAAAAATTCCCTTTTCAAAACACCGTAGAAGTTCACATTGTCAGGTATCAAGGTTTCTTCATGCAAAAGGACTATAAAATGTTTCCACCATCTGTGAATTGGGATAATATAGATTGGTCAACCAGGAGACCCCAAATGGATTTCCCTGTTCAAGTATTTTGATTATTGTACTCCTTCTGCCTTACCTAACTTTTGAGCAATATAGTATTTTTAAAGGAAGTTTTGTACATTTAATTTATTGTGATGAACCAAGCAGAATAAGTTTATATTTTTCTTAAGCAAACCTTTTGTCACCAATTTCTTCTTTATGGCATGGCCGTGTGTTATATGTTCTCTGGAAGACGTGAGCACAATAGAGCCTGGGAAGGTTAGTTTTTCAATCATGTTTATTAGAGGGCTATTCATGAATATATTCCTGTTATTTCACTATAAAATGCAATAACATGTATATTTTGCTTTCATTTTCTTCTTATCTCGATCATCTTTACATGGCTTGGACGTTTAGAACTCTGGCTAAGCTTTTCAAGTTTTTAATTATCATTGTATGTGGGCAGTGGGCATTTGCTTCAAAATATATTGATGTTCCCAAATCTATGTTTTTAGTACTGGGATAATTATTTTTATTTTCCTCAGAAGTATATTGAAATAACATTTTAAGTTTCCTGAAAATAAATAGACATCCTTTCCTTGCAGAAATGAAATGTTCAATAAAAACCTATCTACCTGAACTAGAAAATTTGCATTTGTTCTTACCAATTGATGGGTTTTCAGTGCTTTCTTTTCTCAACTCTAATGTATAAAACTATATTTAAACATATAAATGCACATAAAAAAGAAGGTAAATAAGGAACAAATAGTCTTAAATTCATAAAAGACAATCACAACTCAAACATTAATGACAATAAATATGTTCTCAAGTCAATTACATATAAAACTTAAAATAGTACTAAAGTAAAAACAAACTAGTCAAAGTGTTCAAGATTGGTCCTAGTGTTCATTTGGATTCAAATCCAAGTCCAATAAGTCATCAAATTCTAAATTATCAGCATTGGATAAACTTTCATTGCTCATAATCCATTCATCATAAGATGAAATATCATCAAGATTAAAGTCCATAGCTTTTCTAGATGTCTTTTTCTTGGCCAATTTTGAGTTAGCCATCACATAAACATCATTCATAGTTTGTTGTTTCAAACGATTTCATCTCTTTCTGTGGACCTAAAAAATATATAAATGCAATTGATTATTTGCTAGTGCTTAATAGGTAAAGAAAAAGAATGCAATTTCTCATAGTTTTAAAATTTTATCATCTCAAAAGCACTCCAGTTACGCTCACATCCAGAAGAGCTACATGTCAAGCTCAATATACGAATAGCAAATCTTTGAAGCTCTGGATGTCCATCTCCATAAGGTTCCTACCATTGTGTTGGAGTTTTGATATTAGTTTTAAGTTCCTTTAGGGCTGCCTTGCCACCAAAAAACTTCTTTTTTGCCTTGAAATCTTCAAGTTTAGCATCAATTTTAGTCATTTCTTCATCATTTTCTACCATTCTTTCTATACAATCATATAATCCACGTTTAACTTCAAAATCCGCTTTAAAACCAGGACTGTAATGTAAAAAAGGGTTGAGGTAATAGGCTGCAGCATGCAATGGCCTATGGAGTTGATTGTCCCATCTTTCATCAATGACATTCCATAGAGGGAGAAACTAATATATGAAAAAATTAAATTAAATTTCAAACAAAAATAACTAAAATTTTTAATTAAACTTAATAATTTATTTACCTTCTTTTACTCTCATTGAAGGCCTTTGCTATCTTTTCTTTAGCTCGATCCATTTCCTCGTCAAGAAATCCCATAGCTGGAATCTCATCCGAATCAACCAAACGAAGAACTTTGATTATAGGATATGCACCTCTTAAGAAAACAACACCTTTCCAAAAAGTTTTATCTATAATCATATCTTCAACAAACTTTCCGTCTGTTGATTTAGCAAATCGGCTAGTCTTCCATTGATCAGATGTGAACATTTTAACCAATGCTCCCTTGTGCTCTTGAAGACATCCCAAAGTAAGGTAAGACGTAGCAAAGCGAGTCATGGCTGGTCTCACCAAATCCCTTCCCTTTGTGAAGAATTACAATAAAGAAATTAGGGAAGTCCTTGAATAAATATAAGTAGTAATTTTTTTCCCTTTGAGATTGTCTCTTGATGAATGGGTAACTTCTTCTCTAAATCCTCTAATATCAAATCTATGCAGTGAGCAACACATGGTGCCAAATACAATTTCTTTCTTTTCTCCATCAACAATTCACCCGCAGCCTTATAATTTGTTGCATTATCAGTCACAATTTGAACCACGCTTTCTTCACCAACCTTCTCTACAATGTCATCCATCATTTTAAACAATTTGTCAACTATTTTAGATATATGAGATGTATCAATTGAAGTCAAAAAAACTGTACCCATAGGGACATTAACTAAAAAATTCAATATAGTTCTCCTTTTTTTGTCGGTACAGCCGTCAATCATTATTGTGCATCCTATTTTTCTCTATTCTTCTCTATGTGCTTTAATAGCTTGCGTGGTCAAATTCACATGATGTTTCAAATACTTAACTCTGATTTCATAATAGGAAGTTGACTTGAATCTAATACCATATTTTGTAACCAATTCCAACATCTTATGAAATTCTTCACTCCTTGTCACATTGAATGGTATGGCATTGTTGTAAAAAAAAAAAAGCAATATCTTGACACACTTCTTCTCTCAAATTCTTTTTGAATATGTTATTGAGAGTGACTTGATTACTTACTCCTCTCTTCTTGAAAATGTTCCTACTACTTTCAACTTCACTCCTTTTTCTTTTTTCACCAGAATCGCAACCACCATCACCTTCTCCAAGAAGTTCTTTGAGTTTGCTATCTGATTTCTTTATTAATTTCTCTTGTAAGGAGACACAACTTGCCACATTTCTTTCCTCACTTCATCACTAACCGAAGAGCAAGCACCTACATCTTTCTGTGTTTCGACCAAATGATGTTTTAAACGGTAAACTCCACCTGTTATTATTTTTTGACAATAGTTGCATTGTATTTTTCGTGCATCTCCATCCACAAATAAATCATGCTGCCATGCCACATCACTCCTGTTTCCAAGAGTATTTTTTTCGCAAAGAACCAGCCACAATTACACCAACTGAGCAGCTTATTGAGCCAGTAAAAGTGTGACCAATGGTAGGATTTGCAACAACTCTCTTCCTTTCTAGTTGCCCTCTCTGGATTGCAGGTGTACTTTTCCCACGTGCAAACATCTTCAAACATGGCAAAAATATCAAAATAGAGGTAGAGAATGGGGAAAACAGATTCGCAATGTTGGAGAAGAAGAGAAATGTGTGTCGCAAGTTTGAGGAAGAAGAGAAGTAGGGATCGTGGTGCTGAGGAAGAAGAGAAGTTAGGGTCCGGTGCTGCAGAAGAAGAGAACAATGCGTCGCAGTCGATGGTGCTGAGGAAGAGAACTTGCGTTGCAGTTGCAGGTGGGCAAGCGAGAAGGGGAGAATGAAAAAAAAAACCCTAAAATTTGAGATTAAATAAGTTGGGTCAAAAAAATAGGGACAGGTCAAATCGGGTAATCAGGTTTTTTAAAAAAAATCGGGCTCCATCAAACTCATCTAGGATTGCACGCTTCCACGAGGAAGATCGTGCAATCCCAGCAATCTCAGAAAAGCACGTTGCAGCATAGGAATGTGATCGGAAGACCTGCAAAAGACCGTAAAATTGTCCAATCTTATGAGTTGGATCGCAATTTTGACTACAATGCATTAGAGAGTAGATGTGTCGGTTGGCAGAGGCAAAACTTGGATGGAAGCCTCAAGATTTTGGAAAAACGATGTTCCTCAATATCACAGTATGCCAACAGTGACAAATGGGCATGGGTGCTATTTGAGGTCACAGCTAATATTCTTCACAGCACTGAGATTATTGCAAAAGTGGTATGTCATGTATTTTCTACTCGTCCTGATTCGTGTATCTTGCTTGATGAGCTTTTAAATACTAAATATGTTCTGATAGCTAGCATGTATTGATATATCATGATGATAAGATATGGGTCATTCAAATTATACAGTGGTCAGCTTAAAAGTGTTACCTATTCCAGATTAACTGCTCTGTGAATGGAATTGTTAAAAAAATATAATATAAAACCATTCATGTGTCTTCTTGTAACAGCTTAAGATTTTGGATAGTTATTTTAAGACACGGTATCAAAAAGCCTCAATGACCAAATAGCTTAGAATTCAATCTTTTTAACTCTCATTCTTCTAATAAAAGTTGAATTTAAGCATAAGATAACTAAGCATATGTATTATCTACACTTCAAGCCCTAAAGGTTTTGGCATGAGGAGGCATCAAAAATACTATACAAAATCATTCGTGTCTCTTTACCTAACAGTTTAAGCTTTTGAGATAGTTGGTTCATGACAATCCAATCTTGATGTTGGCGCTCTTGTAAATATCCATTCTTACACACTCCAAATGTCCAATCTTGAGCATACAAAGGGGTTGTAGTAGCCCTTAAAAGACTTGGATATCTCCTCCCTCCCACTCCTCTTTCCTGAGCTAACTTTTGAAGTGGAATCATACCCAATCTAATTCTAATTGGAATGAAATATTATGTCCACTTTTCAGTGAATGTGTAGCATCTAATGGCATTTGACCCTTGACAACCTTTTAAATCCATATATAGA